GGACGAAGAGGGGGAGGTGGAGGAGGAGGAGGAGGAAGAGGAGGGGGAATATGGTGTAGGATGATGAGGCAGGTGGTGGGGTGGCCGTTTTCGGAGTGCGGGGGATGTGGGGATGTGGGGTCGAGTTTGATCCTGCACTGGGGCATTGGAGGTTGAGAGGGTTAGTCCGAAGTGCAACGAGGACCCCCTATACTGGACAATCGATTTCGGTTTCGCGTTCGCGTCGTGCGTGCCGTTCGGCCCCAAGGTGTTCGCAGAGCCCCCCTACCGGGAAATCGATTTCGGTTTTGTGTTCGCGCGTGCCGTGCGCGCGGGCGAGGCGAAATTGTGTGGGCGGGTGGGAGGAAAATCTCATGTGAGATCGATCGTCTGGAGCTCCAGCGCCGTTTTCGCGTCGTCGTCGTCGTCGTCGTCGTCGTCGTCGTCGTCGGTCGTTGGTCGTTGCTGGACCAGGGTGCCGAGTGAAAATTGCCTCGAGCTCCAGCGCCGTTTTCGTGTCGTCGTCGTCGGTCGTTGGTCGTTGCTGGACCGGGGTGCAGAATGAAAATTGCCTGGAGCTCCAGCGCCGTTTTCGCGTCGTCGTCGGCGTCGTCGTCGTTGTCGGTCGTTGGTCGTTGGTGGACCGGGTTGCCGAGTGAAAACTGCCTGGAGTTCCGGCGCCGTTTTCGTCGTCGCCGTCGTCGTTGTCGTCGTCGTCGTCGTCGTCGTCGTCGTCGATTGTTGGTCGTTGGTGGACCAGGGTGCCGAGTGAAAATTGCCTGGAGTTCCGGCGCCGTTTTCACGTTGTCGTCGTCGTCGTCGTCGTCGTCGGTGGTTGGTCGTTGCTGGACCGGGGTGCCGAGTGAAAAGTGCCTGGAGCTCCGGCGCCGTTTTCGTGTCGTCGTCGTCGTCGTCGTCGTCGTCGTCGTCGTCGTCGTCGTCGTCGTTGTCGTCGTCGTCGTCGTCGTCGTCGTCGTGAGGGGCCAAGAGGCTCCGAGAGGGCCCCAATACTTGCCCAGGGGGCCCCCAGAGGACCCCAAGACGGCCCCCAAACGGCTGAAAAAAAACCCTATACGGCCCCAAGACGGCCCCAAGAGGGCCCAAAAGCACCCCCAACGGCCACCGTATTAATTTCGGTTCGGTTTTTTTTCGCCACGTGCGTGTGTACTCGCTCAACCGTGCAGGCTGGGCCAGGCTTTGCTAGCGCAAGGCTCCCTCTGACTACTGCAATTCCGCCGGATGGACCTGCCGGAGCCCGACATCCGGCGTCGCGAGGGCAGCCGGTCCCCGCGCCTGCCCATCGGCGCTCGTCGCCTGCGTTTTGGCGCGGTGTGGCGTCCGCTGTCCAAAGCCCATCTGCAGCCCGTCGGCCAGAGCCCGACCCCGATGCAGCACTCGATCACGATGTTCGCCCAGAGGATCCACAGCCGCATGGAGGACATCTTGACTTACGAGCCGTGGAATCCGGACCGGAGAGCCGTACATTTGGCCCTGCAGGCTCGCGGTCCGTAGGCGCCCCATGGGCGCCTCCGGACCGCGAGGCGGCAGGGGCAAAATCGGCGAGACTCTCAGGACGACAGCCCCCGGCCAGTGGATGAGATCTTCTGGCGCCTGCAGTACTTGGTCTGCGGTCTCCAGTGGTTGCTCGACCACGTGGCGGAGGGCGGCCCCGCGTCGGAGATAGACAAGTGCTGCGTGAAGCTGGGCGACATCCTCAGCGGCGGCGGGCGGCGGTACAAACGACTCGGCCGCTACGCGTTGCCGCCGCCAGCGCCGACGCCAACTCCGGTTCCTTTGCCTGCACCTGCGCCCGCGCTGCCGGCGCCTACACCAGCAGTTGAACCAGTCTCCAGAGCGCCAGGTTTTGCCAGCGCCCGCCGAGCCACGACCACGATCACTACCGCATGAAGATTCCTTGGTCGTCGTTGTCAGTGAGCGGGCCGACCGGGCTGCGGAATCTTTTCCATCAGTTCTTGAGTTCAGCTCGCCGTTGACAGTGAGCGGCCCGGCCGTGCTCCCGATTTTGCGCAAGGAGTCTTCGTGTCGACAGGCATGGTCGGAGAGACGGAGAGAGTGGCGCGTGTGTCGAGCGGCATATGTGTCGAGCGGCATGGTGGGATCGCGTGTGAGATCGACGGTGAGATCGACAGTGAAATCGATAGAGTGATATCGAAAGGGATATGGTTAGGGACGCCGATCGTGAGGTCGACTGTGAGGTCGGTTGTGAGATCGATGGTGAGATCGACAGTGTGGCCGGCCGAGAGACGTCGATGATGATGATATCGATTTTGAGATTGATGGTGATATTGATCGAGCGAGATCGATTGAGTGATATCGCTAGTGATATCGGTAGTTCAAGAGGGGACACGGGCTGCGCCAGCCTTTGCCAGCGCTCCAGTCTCCACTTTTCTGTGACCATCGGCTGCCGTTGGCCAGGTTGGGCTGGTTCCCGGGGGGAAGGGCCAATGGTACCAACGCGCCAAAAAACAAAGGGTGATGTAAACAACTCGACCCCGACGCTCCCAAGAGCGATCGGCAACGCAACGCTCTCCATTGGCATCGTCACAACAACGATCACAATTGTTGCCCATTGCTGGGGCCCTCCCCCCAACCTCCTTATCGCCTGCAGGGTGGTCGTATAAGTAGGTGTATGTAAACATACCTATATATAGTTTACATTATGTGTGTGTATATATATATATAGACGTATGTATATTGATCTCGGGGTTGGCCGCGGGCGTCCCCGGGACCAGGGCCCCGGGTTGGCATGGCCGCTCCAGGGGCCCCACAAACGCCCCCGTGACCTTCGCACATGCTTCAGCACTCGGTGCGAAAGTCTGCCGGACTGGTCCATCACGCCCCGAGGGTGCCGAAGGATTGCTTTTTCAACGGATACCGAAGGCTTCCAGACTCCGCCAGGATGGCCCTCGGCGGGTTTCAGTGGGCGCCCGCGGCCCCAGACGAACGCCCCGTTGAGCAAACATCTTGGATCCCCTTGCGTTTGTCAGAGCGTGTCCTTTAACTTTAAGGTTCCCCAATGTGACCATCCCGTTTCCTGCTCTCCTTTTCCCCGTCCCGCTGAAGTAACGCTCTTGTTGGAACAGGAATAGAGTCAAGACAACTTTCCACTTGTGTCCCCCTCCTGCACAGCTGCCATGCCGATCCACGGCCTCTTTTTTTTTTCGCAATGCCGAGAGTTCGAGCAGTGCGCGTTCGGATTTCCGTTCGAGTTTCCGCGGCAGCCCCCCACCGTCGCCGCCCGTGGCCGCCCCGTGGCCGCCCGCGGCGCCCAACGTGTAGCTCACATCGCGTGTCTTGCGCCACGTAGACTGCACCACGGCACTTGCAGTACATAGCTTGCACTTCCTTGTTTGCGCCGCATCCCTTGCACCACGTAGCTTGTATCACGTAGCTTGTGCCACGTAGCTTGCGCCGCATAATTTGCGCCACATGGATTACACGCCCACGGCGCAAAAAACTACATGTTATTTCGGAACTGGCTGCGTGGTTGGGTGTGTCAAGGAATCTCCACGGTGCCACCCGTGGCCACCTCGTGGTCGCCTCGTGCGTTTGGTGTGTCTGGCGAGGGTTCACCATGTTGCAGCCCGTGGCCGCGTCGTGGCCGCCTCGTCTGCCCGTGGCCGCCTCGTGGCAGCCTGTTGCGCTGGGTGGGTCCGGTGAGGGTTCGCCACGTTGCCGCCTGTGGCCGCTTCCTAGCTTGCACCACGTAAACTGCACCGCATATCGAGGATTCGCCGCGTCTCCGCACGTGGCCGCTTCGTGGCTGGCTCGTCGTAGCTCACACAACATAGCTTACACCGCATAGTTGATACAACATAGCCTGCACCACATAACTTACACCGCATTGCCTACACCACTTGGCTCGCGCCACATCGTTTGCACCGCTTAGTGTTCACCATCTCGTTTGCACTGCGCAACTATCACCACATAGCTATCACCACATAAGTTACACAGCACCGCTCACACCACGCAGCTCACATCACAGAGTTTTTTCAACATAGCTTACACCACATAGCTTACACAACATAGCTCACAGCACATCGCTGACACCACTTACGTGTCACACATCATAGTTTGCACCACATGGCCTGCACAACATAGCTGGCACCATAATGCGCACACTGCACAGCTTACACACCATACAGTGGATCACATTGCGTACACAACATGTCTCGACAACATGTTCCACCGCCACATTGCAACAACTCAGTGTTTGGAGTTCATGTTGGCTAACAGGTTGGGCAACCGTTTGCTTTTATACGTTATGAACACCCCTGTTCTGAACTGTTGACGCACACCAGTTGTTGTTGCGATGCTTTCGTCATGCGCGTGTGGGTGGCACGCACAATATCTTTTGATGGAGTTGGCTGAGGCGCGATGGTTGTTGAATGATTGCGATATGCGCGCGTGTGTAACCTTCATGGGCAGGATTGACAAAGTGGCACAACAACTTATTGCGTTCTTGTGTTTTTAGGGAAAGCGCGCGGAACTGTTGACTTTTTATTGATAAGCCATCGGTCATACATGTAAGTGGTAAGTTCTGATTTTTTGTTGGTGTGATTCTGACATGCGCGCACGGGGGCGCTTGCGCATGGCCTGCATGGCGTTGTCCCGTCGGGATTCTTACAAGGTGCACTTCTTTGACCAGCGCGTGATCACAGCATGGTATTACATTGCTAGTGATGGGGAGTGGAGGTGGGGGCGGTGGCGGGCGATGACGGCACTGTCTAGGGTGGAGTGATTGGATATTGAGAGTGATTGGTCGTGAAGAAATAACAACGGAAATGCAATGCGTGGAGGGTGACGCATAATCCCCGCCTCGGGGTGTGGGGGGTCCCGTTTATGGTAGGAGAAAGGATCTATGTAGTGCAACGCAGGCAGTGCGTGTACCATGTGGTGTTCAACCGATGTAGTGCAGTTTCGTTACTTTCTTTATTTCTCCCTCTGTACTTCTCTATCGCGCCTCCTTCCCTCTGGCAGTTGCCGTTGGCATCGCTAAGGATCGAGACCAGCGGCTTTCCTGTTCCGACAACATGACCGCAGGGGACTTTCGCCACGAGTGGGAACAGCGTCAAGGTTCGGATTGGCCTTTTCGTGTTCGTCATCTTATCCACTCGCCCATTCTTATCACCTTGCGAGCATTTTTTATAATCCTGGACCTCCAGCCCCTCAGCGCCAAGAACAATACCGTCCAGAGCAGGTGTCAAGAGATGAGACGACTGAAATGAACTGGACTGGAGTGGACTGAGATAGACCAAGTTGGAATAGACTGGGCTGGACTGGGGTGGACTCTACTTCATTGTACTCTACTCTACTCTATTCCACCCCACTCTACTACACCATCTACCCTGTTATGCTCTACCCTACCCTACCCTACTCTGCTCTGCTCTACTCTACTCTACTCCTACTTTATCCTACTCTTGTATGCTGTCCCCTACTCTACTCTGTTCTGCCCTACTCTACTCTACTCCACTCCTCTCCACTCCACTCTACTCTACTCTACTCTACTCTATTCTACTTGACTTCACTACCATCTACCCTGCTCTACTCTACTGTGCTCTACTCCACCCTACTCTTCTCTACCTCACTCTAGCCGATCCTACTCTACACTACTCTCCTCTCCTCTACCCTACTCTACTCTACTCTACTCGCCGCGTCGTCGGAAGCGGGACTGCACGCGAGCACCTTCCGTTTGCGAGGTGGGAGCGCGTTCCAATCTACTCTGTTCTGCCCTACTCTACTCTACTCCACTCCTCTCCACTCCACTCTACTCTACTCTACTCTACTCTATTCTACTTGACTTCACTACCATCTACCCTGCTCTACTCTACTGTGCTCTACTCCACCCTACTCTTCTCTACCTCACTCTAGCCGATCCTACTCTACACTACTCTCCTCTCCTCTACCCTACTCTACTCTACTCTACTCGCCGCGTCGTCGGAAGCGGGACTGCACGCGAGCACCTTCCGTTTGCGAGGTGGGAGCGCGTTCCAATCCCAATGTCAAGGGGTGCCACAGTTGATTCTTATGTTGTGGGAGGGAGGGCGGGAGTAGGCGGGGCCCTCTGACTCGCTCGACCTGGCTGTAAGTTGACCATACTCCTACTCATACTCCTCCTTCTACTCTATTCAAACTCCCATGGGCCCAATCCGTGACCCTCCATCTGAAAACAACAATACAACGTCGACGACTTTCGTCTCAGCATGGACATTCTGTCGTCCAAGTTGTTACCTGCCTGGCAGGAGTTGGACGGGGCGCGCATCCCTTCCGAAAAGCCCAAATTGTGCTGTCGCCTCGGCGACGCGCTTGTACTTCGTGCAAGCGCGAGCGTGCAAACATGTTCTCGCGTCGGCGCCGCGCAGATATCGCGTGAAAGCGGCGCTTCCGCCTCGACGCGTCGCATATTTTTCGCCCGCCGATTCTGGGATCCCGCGCGGGTGGGCGACTTGTCTCTCTCGCCCAAGCTTTGTGCACATTCCGCTCGTAAGTGGTGTTCAGCGCGGGCGCGGCGCATAGTTCGTTCGCCAAATCGTGTGAAGTCGACGGCGGCCGCGGGG